GGTTTGCCGCCTGTTTAGGGCGCGCCTGCTCCCGAGACTGGAAATGTTAAGTCAAGGATTCCGATGAAAAAATATGTAAATTACATAAATTTGGTAGTAGTGGGCCMACCTCTTCCAAAATTTATGTTTTTTTTTACATAAACCGAGCCGGGCGTGCCAAAAAGTACACAGATATATGTTTTCGGGAATGACCCAATGATGAGCGACAAATACAAATAGTACAGTAGTAAATTATGATATAAAATTATTGTCTGAAAGCTCTGTTCAGCTTTCCGCAAAGAAAGCGAAGTCATGTGCTACTATCAATAATATCTTGGGAGGAGTACACGAACATTAAAAGTACATTTGGTTAAGTTTTGTTATCAAACTGGAAACAGGTAGAGGATATGGGTCTCTCCACTAAGAAGACCCGAGTGCTTTGAGTTAGTAATTGATTTGGTGATTCACCAATTTTGCGGCCAAAAAGCCCGATCCGGCTTTCTGCTTTCGCTTCCCTAGTTTAGGCGTCAGTCATCTCAAGTGTTGGCGCATCGTAGTCCTCAGTGGTGACTTTGTTAGGAGTAGGCTTTTTCTTAGACGATTTCTTCTTTCTGCCCTTCGAAGATCCCCGAACACTCTTCTTGATTTTGTTGCCCGTCGTAGATACCAGCTCCACTACAGTTTTCTTCCTGTGGGAACCTGGCTTCATTAGGGAATCGGAAGTTTTCGACTTGTTAGTTCTCTTCTTAGCTTTGTAGGCCATGTATTGTTCTGTCGCGAGCATTGCTACTGCGGTCATAAAGAGGAACACACCGATCCCGACATATCTCTGCCCGATTTTCATGTTGGCACGGTAGTTAACGTATGTATCTACTTTCATCGACATGCGGACACCCTTGTTAAAGTTTTCTTGGTAGTATTCCAATTTGCCGTATGGATCGGGGCAGCCACCGTCGGGATCCCAATAGTTTTGGATGAAACAAGCGTGTGAATAGTACAAGATTGAGAGGGGCGTTCCGGAGTAGTCATAATTGTTGTTGTAGCCATAATAGCTGTCGTAACCGTAGTTGTTGTATCCGTATCCGTAGTTGTTTTGAAGATTACGGTCCTCCTTGTCCGTATTTTCGTCAATCTCGGTTTTGCCRTCTTGTTCGGCTTCGTTTTTGCTTTCTGTTTTTTTGAGCTCTCGGTTGCCCGAATTGTAACTCTGTTGGTAATCGTAAATCTTGACACACTGCGCCGATTTGAAATCACTGTTCATGTAAGAAAGTGTGTCCGTAATGCCAGTGGCATACGCAGGATTGCAGGTATCAGTGCTGTACGTCACACTTGCAAAGCCAACATCGTAATCACAGGCAATCCCAGCTCCACCCTGGCACTCGGAAGAATAGACTCCGGAATAATCCGTCGATGTAGCTCCTGCGTAGTAGATGGCGGAAGCAAAACCTTCAAACCCCTGGTTGGTGGTGAAGCTGTTAATGAAGGTGTTTTCGTTGCAACCCTTGAATTTTTCTCCCTTGAGCGATCCATAAAGTGAAAAGGCTACGTTGGCTGCATACGAAGGAGTAGCTCCCATGTACCAGTAATCGGTTTCGTCCCCACTTCCCGACTCTTGCTCCTCGTTTGTGTTCCTATTTTGAGTCCAAGCACAGTTGTGGTACTGAATGTATAGGTAGGAGAACTCATCTAAATCTTGGATCACATTGTGGGCATCGGCCCAGTACATTTTCAGATCAACATTTGGGTTTCCCATTCCGGCACGATAGTACTCATCATCCTTAGCTGCATTTACTGCAGCAAGAGTGCAAAGTAAAATGGTACAGGCTGCTTTGAACATCATGGCCCTGGATCTTGGTCGATGTTTGGTTTCTTTTCCAGATTGAATTATTCTATCCACGAAAGTGGAGTGACGGTGGGATACCTAATGGTGACCTTGTTTCGCCAACTTCAGTTTTCGAAAAATGTTTTTGATAGAGGAACTAAGATGGGCGAAACTGACATTGCGCTAGTATTACGCGACCTACAGGGATGCCGTACTCGGTTTTTTCACACGTGCTTGGTTTTTTGAGCGAGAGAAACGCGAGAATCCTCCGAAACTTATGGTCGCGCAAGCCTAAAAGTATTATCGCTCATTGCCTATGAATGCATACCCACGACCGTCACACTTAGCGCATTTTTATTGGATTTAAAAAAACCCTCCTTACCTAAACACGAGCCATCTCCGATCAAGTTCTCTTAAAATTGTGACATATTCCTACATTCATCGCTCGTTTTATTTTTTTACCCATCCAAGCAACTTCGAGAAAAATTGTTGCTTTCGGTCCCCTGGGTTTATTTTGGGTTCTCTGTGGAGTTTACTATTCCTGAATCATAAGAGTACATATCGATACTCTAGTAGCAAAGTMAAATCTGAAAGAATGAAGACGATGGATTTCTTTTCCATTTTGTCGGCGTGCCTCGCAGCCGCTCTCCCCATGACGATGGCGGAGCAATCCTATTATGGTGGAGCAAATTACGGATACTCTTCGACCATTTATGGAAGCAATGCGTATCTAGATTCAACAGAAACCGAATACGATGCGTATGCTCAGGCATGGAGATATCTGGGCTGGTATGTGGACTGCAATGGAGGGTCCAGCCGCTATTACGATCGCAGCGGTAGTCATAGTCACAGTGGGAGTGGGGACCAGCAATCTTTTGGAAACAATTATTGCCAAAGGTACTTGATGTGGGCTGCTGTAAGTTCATACCAGGAAACACATAGACCAATTCGTTTTTTTGTTTTGCTTGCATAGTTCATACTCTGATCACTTGCGTTTCCTCGATTTTTTTCGTTGCCAGTACGTTGACGAGACGTATTCTGGAGGTGGTATCGGCGAGTATGCTATCTTTGACACCACTAAGGGCTCCTATGATAGTACCGCTTGTGACACGAACGGAAATGGGAGCTGTAAGCTTATGGATTGTCATAATCCTGCTTCGACCAACTGGAAACTCATTGGGGTATTCAAGGAGGCATCTTACTTCGGAAACGATGCCTTTTTTGAGCAGCTCTTCAAACACGAGGGAGTTTGTGTATGGAACGATAGCTCACTCTACGAATTCATGTCTGAAACTCGCGAGAGTAGTTTTTCTTCCGGATGTCTCGATACAGGAATCTCCTATGGCGACTACGGCTTGTACATCGACTTGAAACCTTCTTTCAACGGAAACATGACCTACCAACTCTACGAGGATTATGTTTGTTCAACCGAATATGAGGGCAATGACTACAATCTAGAGAGCGTGGCTGCCAGCATGGGTCTTCTCTATGGTGACTACATGCAGGCATGGAATGATGCCATGGAGCCATTCAAGGTTTGCCAACCGTGCAGAGCATACAACCTGCAGCAAACTTCATCATCCTCGTCGTCGAAAAAAACGTACTATTCTTATTCTTCGTCCTCGTCCTCGAGCAGCTACGGAGGATACTGGAGATACACAGGTAACCGTGACTTGGAGGACGAAAAAGCAGAAAGCAACAAGGTGGAAGAAAACCAAGAAGATAAAGCAGAAAGCAACAAGGTGGAAGAAAACCAAGAAGACAAAGAACGTGAACTCGGCAGCGGTGATGGTAACAATGGTTGGTATGATGATGACAATGGTTATGATCCAAACGATGGATACTTCCGTTGTGATGATGACGCCGATTATTCCAACGTAAACCAATGCATGAAGTTCCGATCACATGCTGACCTCGAGTCTGCTTCTTGGCAAGATTTGGTAGCCGCCACCAACCAAGGTGGAATTCTGACCGTCAACGTCAGCGGAGTCGTATTCGGCTCCCCCTTTGTTTCGAAGGAACAAGAAGAATACCTCACCTACGTGAGGCGTCAAAAGGAAGAAGCTTATGCCAAAGAATTGGAGATCAAGGCTGCGAAAGCCGTTGCTGCAGCTCCAACTGCCCGGAGTGTCGTAGTCATTGGAGTGCTCTGGGTTGCATTTGGTGCTTCTGCATTTGTCTATTCGGGACTCAGACTTCTTCGACAACTAAGTATTGAGAAGAAGAGGGGATCAAGGAGTCTTGCAGAACCATTGCATTGAGCAAGTATGATGCTACTACAGCCTAAAAAGATAGAATCTCTCGCGAGAACCTCTCATCTTTTTAGCACCACCATCWTCCGATTCGATTCCTGTCTTTATTCATGCCCATCATGTTGTATTTTTTTGCATTCACATAGCATATCCTTAGCTTATCACACAAATACCAATAACAAGTATAATACCAATGTATTGATACAAAACTACCATTACATGTTGTTCACCTTCAAAGCCTTTCGTTCATTGTTAATCTGCAAGGGTTATTTTCAGTACGATATAATGATTGTGCGCGATTGACTGTAAAAAACTGCCGTGAAAAGTTGCTCAAAACGTATCAAACAAAATCCAGGCTCTTTTATTAATTCATGTGGCCAATTGAACAGAACAGTATTGCAAGTAGACCAACAACACCGTGCGGTAACGTACAAGTTAAGTCAAAGTGGTATGATCTGAGCATCTCATATCACAAAAATTGAGGTCTTTAATCAGCTGAGTGATGTGATCTATTTTATCGCTATTTGTATCAATAATATTACGTATACCAGAAAATCTAGGATGCCGATGGATGATGATTCTTCTATCGGTACCGTCAGAATTAGCTATCCGCAGGAATAAACAGCAACAGCAAACCGGCAACTGCGATTTTCTTGTTCATGAGATGTCTCGTTTTCTGACCTGTTCCATTATCGGCTGGTTCATCTCTCTTTACGACTCCGCTAATCGAACTCTGTTGAAAAGCCCATCCTCGTCTGTTCCACAATGCGAATGATCGAGGGGATCGTCATCGTGTAGATTCGAGATCGTGAGCATCTTAGAATCCGAACAAGTGGGATGAAAAAACTCTCTGGCAATCCCACCAACGTCCTCAGTCACCGCCAGGCAGGCGAAGCGAGCTACCACGAGCTTCCATCGCTCCGTAATGGCAATGGCATCCTCGGTTCCTTTGGCCTCCAAAAGGAATTCCTCGCCTCCACATGACTTGAGGAGGAAACTCGCGTTCTGCCGCGCCATAGGATATTTAGAGCGATCAATGCTTGCATGGGACCGGGACGACGAAGATAAGTACGGAATGATCCGGCAGGCATTCAACAAGCGCATAGACCATGGCTTTTGGGTCGAGTTGTTGAGTTTGTGCTGGGACAAGAGTAATGGCTGGTACGCGTCCCGCCACATAAAGGCTGGTTCGATCACTACACCAGACGTAGTGATGACAGTCCCTCGCTCCAACCACATATTGATGCAGATGGGCTTGTTGTGCGAAATGTTGTATTCCTTTCGGTTTTCAGCATTTGGATGCCATGTCAGCGTCCAGGTAGAGTTGAGGGTTTGCTGCACCGACTCTCTCATGTCGATCTCATCCATCGGGACGGAATCTTGTCTCAAGACATTTCGGTCGCTACTGGGCAACGGTGAAACAGCAGGAACAACTGAGTGCTGAGGATACTCTGGAGAATCAAAGGAAGATATCGACGAGGGATCATCTACTCGTTTGGCCTGGGATCGCTTTGGGGAGTCCGTGATCATGGATGACGAAGCCGAATAACAATTAATCTCTGGGTCAGAGTCGTAGCCATCATCTTCGTTCTCGAAGGGAATGGGTTCTACTGTACCTTGGCCGATGAAGTCCGCCAAGGAATCATCGAGCATAGAGTAGGACTTGCCAATTCCGCGATAGGATGCTTGCTTCGACCCACTTGATTTTCGGTTCAGGTAATCCATGTGAGTGCTGTTGATCCTGGTTTTGATTTCAAGAGTATTGCTTGCATTATTTTTTTTCATGTGAAAACCTTTTCGAATGCTGTTGAGGTTGTAATGGGCAGAATCGGTACCATGATTTGTAATAGTGACCCCGTGGCGGCTCGCTCCACGGACACAGCGATCGTCCATCCGTAGCCTGTGGATGCGTTTCAATCGTTTCTTTATAGAAGCGCGAACTGGTAGTTTGTTTTCTCTAACGTTCTTCGAATCCGTTCCGTTTCGAAACATTTCCGAGGTCCGAATCGACCAAATATCAGCGAGTTCTAAGTTCCCTACAGGAGAAGAGCACCCAAGGAGCTGCCAGATGTCCATAGAAACCATTGCCTTGCTRGAATTTTCGGTTTGCTTCCAGGGAGAGTATTGGTCTGTGTCGCAGCCGTTTAGAACTGCCGAATGGCACGATTCTTGGAATTTCTTGATTTTATCATCCATCGCTGCCATCGCACTTCTGTTGTTGTTGATGGACGGTTTCGCACAATTATTATAGTTTTCATAGTTTTTGGACGGCACACACGCGGTAGAGGTACARATGGAGTCAACGAAGGAATCGGTCACCGAATAGAGCGTTAAACTGTCCATGATGCTCGAAGTTTTCTGCTGTTTTCGATCACGGACATCATTTGCGTGCGTCTCATCATTCTTTCTTTCGGTCTTTYCTCTATGTGGCTTACTTTGGCGCGAAGGAGTCGGGCTCACMGGGCGAGATTTAACCATTTCGTCCATCGGAGTGCTGCTACTGGGAGAAGACGGGACCTCATTGATTATCCCCAGCAGCATGTTCTCGTCTTCATCGCTAAAGGAGGCGTCCTCATCGCATTGAGAGTCAATGTCAAGGATCGAATCGTGTGTATTCACAACTGTTATCTCTTGCCTGYTGGAAACATTGTCTCTGGTATTGTTGAGTTCGAAGTCCCTGCTCGTATCGGAAGTATCGCGATCGAACAACTCGAATCCSTCACTGCTTGAATACATCCTCGCCACCTCTATGCTATCGTCATCGATGTTGTCTGCATCAGTTGTCGGTATGATAACAAAAGACGAGGACATGGAGGAGTTGGTGCCTTCATATTGGATCATGGCGGACTGCTTCGTCTTTCAATACACTGCTGTCGACTCCGAAAACAATGAGGACAACTCCACACCATTTATGGTGTCGAAGGCACCGGTATGGGTATCGTTCGCTACCAAAAAAGTTTCCTCATAAAATACAGCACCGTACCGTAGAGTACGATGGTGTACGATTCGCGGCAAAATCACCAAAGACAAACGGGGTTTACTACAGTACCGTACGTACTGGTACCGTACTGCTGTCAACAGCAACTGTTTTTGTCGGGAGTAGGTGCATTTTTGGCGCTTGATTTTTTGACAATGGGCATTTCCGGTACAAATAACACGTGCAAACTGCGATTTATCTCCGTTGCGCACGTTGAGGAGCGAGGCGGGCGATCTACATTGTCAACGGTGTGCGCAAGACTTCRTAGTAGGGTTCGCGATTCGATGTGGCGGTGTCAGGGGATATGTTGTATCGTTGGCGCCACCGTCTTTTTTAAAAAGTACTGTACATAATGGAAAGTGTCAACAACAATGACGTCGAAAACTGCAGTTCAGCGAATGAAAACGAAGACTCTACTAATAGTTCGTACGGTACGTACGTATGGAACTAMGTCCTCTGGTATGTAATATATTACTAGCAGTACCGTACCCACACRGTAAATACTCTTAATCCCGGTAGAGGAATGATCCCCGAAAACCGTTCGTAACCGTTACGGTTACTCGAATTCCCTTATCACCGGTAGATACGTACGTACTGTACGTACGTATCATAATATTTCATACCGTARTTTGCATACTACATGCTATGCATACCTTAATGTACTAATAACATATCTCCCAGCAACCAGCAAGCACGACTTGTGTTTAACGCGCAGAGCACAAGTCTCGCGCGATCTGATCTGTTGACGTCAGCAGCATGCATCTGCAATCTGCAAGCAATCTGGTAGCAATCAGCAAACACCAACTGTCGTATTTACAATACGGTACMGWACCGTACAGTAACCTACTATCTGCAGTACGGTAGTACGAGTACGTACCGGCGGCCCCCATACTATGTGAGGATAKTGAAAGTTTACCTCAGGTTCTCAGTTCGAAGGAGGGTGCGAAAGAAAATAAGAAAATTGAAACAATTCTTCGACGGCGAGCCCGTCATTCATACATCATTGAGATCGATTCCGATCTCACAAAAATATCCAAGGTAACTAGTTACCCGAACTCTTCCCCTTCGAAAACGAACAGGTGACGAAAAGATTTTGTGAGTTAAGGATTAGAAGAGATTTTCGAATGAAACCTTTGGATCCACGGAACACTGAACGGAGGACACTAAACAGACGACGAAGGAGAGAAAAAGAGATAACCAAAATTCAAATAAACGAAGGCATGATGAATGCCAACACCAAACGACCGSGAGCCGTTCCATCGATTGCTGTCGCCTCAATGTTTGTCATCGGAATACTTTTCTCAGTCGTTCAGGTCAATGGCATCCGACCCGGTGCTACTTCCAGCGTGTCGCAAGTTACTAGATCAAGTCCTAGTTGGAGACCACCACTTGCGTCACCTGGTTTGTGCGGAAAACCGTCCGAGCTGTCGTCGTCGTCGTCATCGCGACGCTTCCGGACGCAGCTGTTCGATGCATCCTCGGATTCGCGAGAAGAAGAGATCCGAAAGAAGATCGAAAAACTCAAGGAGGAAGGGAGGATTGCCAACAATAAATCCCAGCAGGCTTCCCCCGATGGTTTGCGGGAGAAAAAGGCTAGCGCCTACGATGATTACGCTGACAAAGTCCAGAAGAAAATGGGAAAGCGGAAGGGTCAGATTCTTGGATTTATGGGCGATGGTACCAAGAATTGGAACAAACGACCTAGTACGGGACAGGAAACTGAGTCCGATATTGATGACTTTATTGCCGAAGAAGACAAACTGGACGCCGAGCGAGCTACGGAACTAGAAAGGGGGCGAGACGAGAAACCAGAAGAAGACGAAAGAGGACGCCAGGTAAGCAGTACGGATGGAAGARGACGCAGAGTGGGCACGCTCGGAACGCTTCCCGAAGATTTGCGGCCATCAAACGAAGCAGAAACGACAGTATCGCCATCTTCCTCGGGAAATGACGGCAAAGATAAAATTAGCATCAATCCAGACCTGTTCGATCTACCGAATACCGAGCCGGACCCTCCCGAACTGACCGAAGACGAGCTCGTGGAACTTGTTGCCGAAAAGTTGGCAGCAAAGCGGGCTGCGGAAGATGCAGAAATCGAAGCTTCTCTCGCAGCGAAACGAGAAGCAGCACGCAAGCGAAGGGAGGAAAAGAATGCCAATACAACCGCAACCGACACCGACACCGACACCAGGACGACCACCGGAGTTGGGGGATCGTGGAATAAAAACGAAACGAAAGCCGAGGCCGATTACACCCCAAAGGTTGGAGGCTGGGGGGTCTTTGCTCGACCCAAGTCTATCAGCGAGGCCTACGGAGGAGGTAGACGGATCGGTGCCGGCTACGACAATGTGGACAACGAGAACGAGAAGTTGAAAACGCAGCAGAGGCTCAAGGAGTATCGCGCCAAGGTAGGCATCGAAGTTCCGTCCGAAAAAGAGCACGCGGCCGAGATTGAGACGGCACTGGCGATTGGACAGCGCGCTATGCAAAGAGGAATCTACGCGACGGCGGTTTCGGCTCTGGAAAAGGTCACGATATGGTGTTCTACGAATTCCAAGGTTGGTTCCAAGGTCTACCTGGAACTGGCCATGGCTTACGAGGCTGTAGGCAGGACGAAAGAAGCCAGCCAGATCTACAAGACTCTGTCGGAGTGCAGAATGGAAGACGTGAAGTACAACGCAAAGCGACTGCTCTATGGACTCGAGGCTATGGAAGTAATGAAGGATGTAAGCTCGGATTTTACCAGAAAGAAAACGCGGAACGCATTTATCGACGCGACCGGACTGGACAACTTTGCATCGAATTTCGACGACGTCTACCAGACTGCCTACGTCGATATGGACAATGGCTTTTACAAAAAGCTGACCGAATCGGTCGTTCGATCGATACGAGAAGCRAGGCAGATTCTGATCCAAGCGCAGGGGAAGGGCGAGGTGAGCCGGACGAGAATCGTCCAAGCGCTTCGGTGCATCAACCGGAACTACGAAGAACTGCTGMAGAACGAGATCAATATGTCGACCACGCAGGAACCCACCGCGTTTTTGAACGGAAAGCCAATCGAAACGGACAAGGCATCCGACTCGGGGAAATCCATGGCGGCCCTCGGTGACTTTCAGCTGTTGGGCGCCGACGAAATGATTCAGAACATGGACGGCGAATGGAAGCTCCAGCTCCTGGCCGACAAGACGGGAGACGGGGTCTCGTTTTTCAACACRACCACCGCCATYCAGAGGTTCAGCGTCGACGACATGACCTTTTCGGCCGAGGGCCCKTCCGGRTTGACGACCGAGCGGTGCTCGGGAAACATCGAGATGGACGCCGCTCGGCGGCTCCTGTCCCGATCCGGCGTGGAATCCTCGAACGACGGGGTCGGTGGGTTGCTCAGYATGATCGGCGGTGGCAAGAATTCCGGGTTTTCGGCCGCCGTTTCGCGGCAGCAGCAGATCGTCTGCGTCGACTCGCTCTTYTTGATMACGAGGCGGTCCCGCAAATCGCGGGGTTCCGGTGACCTCGACAAGGAGTATTTCGGGGTGTGGCGGCGGGTCCTCCCGGACGAGACGGACGCGCCGTGAGGCGGAATCCATTCGATTTCATTCGATCGGACGGGGACCGTCCGTGGACGATCACGGATGCTACTAAGTTCTTGCACACAAGAATCCTTGTTCCKGAAACCAATTCTTCTTTGGACCCTTTTGGATGCAGCAATCCTTGTTTTCGAATCTCGCCCAATGCCGGGGACGACCAACCACCGCACGCACGCACACACACACAGTTCGGGTTTTCTGCTGCAAGAATCACGACGACCAATTGCCACAGACACACGATTACGTACACACATACTCACACACATACTCACTCACTCACTCACGCACGCACGCACGGCACACACCCAAACGAAACGCACCATGCACAAACAAAAACTACCCCGCGCATCTCGAAATCCATCCGCGGCACGGTGCACAATCCCCCTCCCCCCCCCAACACGGCAGGGTACCGATGCCGTGGCGCGCGGTTGTCTTGTCCACCACGAGGCACCCAGCGCAAGTCATTCCAACGAATTGATTCTCCGGTCTGTTTCGTTACGCTTTGTTTGCATCAAACGATGTGTATCCCGCGGAAGGGACAGATTTTAAAAAGGAATAATAGAATTACTTTGTAGAGTACGTACCGTATATTATCCAGTATCGCACCGGAACCCCCGAGAACTCCTTTTGTACTTTGTACGCACCTCACCAAGTTCGCGTGAAAACCCCGATATTGGCATCGTGGTCACACTACGTGCTATCGTATGAACCTGTAGGTAGATAAGGTAGGCACTATAGGTACGAGTGCGGCAGGAATCCTTTCCATTACGAATTGTACGATACAGTACAGTACGAGGACCCCTAGCGTAGAGATACTCTATCTTGTCGTGCCTCCGCTCCAAGTACGAACGGTGTACGTGTTTTACAGTAGGTACGTACGAGTACGGGTACTACGCTGTCATCGGAGCATCATTTTTATTGAGGTTCGGTTCGGGCCCCTACCCTACACCCCTKCCCTACGCCACGGTACGTAAGATACCGTACAATGCMTACGATACCGTACCGGCGGGACGAGCCTCGAACRACCGAATGAATTCGCAAGAGGGTGGGGGCATTGTGTTGTATTGTGTTGTGCTGCGCATTGCATGCTTCTGATTTTGAAATCTATTGTCGCTCGTTCGAAAAACCTCGAAAAGTGGAAGGACGGAGCCCGACAAACGACAAAGAGAAGCCAGAGGGTACTCGTACTCGTACTCGTACTCGTACAGCAACACTGCTTCTAAACCAGAGAAAAAGAAGCTCTTGTGAAGAAAGGTGGTGGTACGCATTTCCCAGCATATGCAGCGGGGTGAACCAATCCAAAGAGAGATTGCCTCTATCAACACTGCGCAATCGCATCGCTGCGCATAACGGCACCGCACCCCACCGTTGCTCCCGCGAGAAGAGAACCAAAGAAAGACGATTCCCACCCCGATTGACACCTAWCCACCGGGAGTTCAGTTCCCATGCCGAAGCCTCCGCAAGCGATGCCGCGGCGAGAAGAAGAATACACCGACTATTCTTGCTCCACCGCCATCGAACGCCTGGGCCGCGACGTCGAAACCATTCTGCGGGCGTGGCACGTCGATCTGGGGAGCGACCACCACGTGACCACCGCGCCGAGATCCGGAGCGACCGGGGACCTCCMGAGCGGCCGCCGGGTTTCTTCCCTGGCCGCGGCCACCTCGGGGGGGGACGATTCCCTGTCGAGCGTTCGCTTGATCCGGAGCGATTGCATCTCGTGGAACCTGGCGGTGACGACCCGYTTCAAGGGCCGCTGCAGCCTGGTGATCGACCTGGAACTGGCGCTGTGGGACGCACCGGGCGGGTTCTCCGGCGGAAGCGGAGGGGGCAGTGGTGTGGGCACCGGTGGCGCCGAGGAATCCTCCCCCTCGCCGATCGTCAGGTCCCTCCAGCGAAAACCCTTTGGAAAGATGCCCCCGCACGATTTCTTGTTTGACAACTTTTCGACCCTCTTTGGAATCGGCCAGCACATCAGTCTGTCCCCGATCCAGCCCGATCCGATCCCCTGGGAGCTGGTGGACTCGCTGGGGACCTCCGTCCTGGAGCGGCACGACGGGGTCAACGTCGCGCCGTGGGTCCTCGCGTCCACCCTGTCGGGATGGCTGCAGAATTCCCTCAACATTGCCTCGGCGAACTCCCGGACGTGCATCCCGGTCTTTGGCGTCTGGGGCCTCTACCGCCCCGACGAGCTGGTGGTGCACACCGGGGACGAGAGCGGGAACGCGGTTGCCCGGGCGTCCCCGTGGGACCACGCATCGGTGCAGGCCCCCAAGCAGCGGGGCGCCAGAAAGAACAGCCGGTCGGCCGGGAGCCTCGGCGGCTCGAGGCGTTCCGGGCTCACCAACGTCCACGAGGAAGACTCCGAGCAGGACCTCCTGCTGGGACAGACCATCGAGACGATCCGGAGGCAGCAGCAGGTCGAGGAAGAGCAGCTGCAGCAGTACCACAGGCACCACCGCCAGTCGTCCTCCGGCGGSAGCGTCGCCTCGAACAGCACGAGCCGCAGCCGCAGCAACCACACCAAAATCAGCAGCCACAACAGCACCGCGGACGTTCCCGCGCGCAAGAGGATCGGAGGCGTCCAGCTCTTTCCCCGCTGGGCCCAGGCGATCAAGAAAATGAGCTTTCCGCCGGAACTCCTRGTCCAGACCAGCCACCGGAACCGGAGCGTCCAGAACAGGAACTTTTCGCCGCCGTTCGTGGTGGGGAGCGTGCTGACGCCGTCCCTCGCTTGTGCGGAAGCCAGCGCACGGCCGGGCGGGGAGAACCGCATCGACCAGGCGATTTCCGGGAAGTTTTACCGCGTGGGGGCGAATCTGTGGGTGAGTGCCTACAGCACCAAGGCCCACCGGCACCCGGGCGACAACACCGGCAGGGGCAAGGGGAGCGACAGGAACACCAAAAACGACATGGTTCCGTCCGCCGCCGCCGTGTTGGCGAGCAACGCACGCCTGGCCATCTGGGCGGGGGTGTTGCTCCAGCACTGTCCGGAGGACGCCATGGTGGTTCTAGAGGGAGCCCGGCACGTGTTTGGTTGGTTCAAGGAAAGGGATGCCACCGAAAGCCTSAAGGGAGGGATTCTGGGAGCTCTGACCAGGGGACGCGACGCAAACGACGGGTACGGGTATTATTACGGCCAGCGACTCCCACCGAGGCATCGCCACACCGACTGGAGAATTGGGGCATACGACGACGAGGGTGACCTGGGACACCACTACGAATTCGACGACAATACGCACTTTCTTTTCTACAAGAAACAATGCCAGGAACACGTCCAGGATGTTTACGAAGAAGCATGGGGCTGCAAGGACCGGAGGACGCCCCTGTGGGGATCCATCGATGACCCGGTCAAATCCGTGTACGCAACCACAACGTGGAACGGGAAATCTTCGCCCAAAGCAAGCGGCAGCGAAGAGCCGCAAAACAGCCAGAGAAGCGTGTCAGAACCACTTCTGACGTTTCCCCTGCGGATACGATCGAGGCGGGAGCTGAGCAAGCGCGACTGGGCAGAAATGGAAGAAAGCGTCGAGAAAACCATTCTGGACCCGGGAAACCCGTCTCGGTTTTGTGTGCAGGCTTACTACGACCGAGAAACCAGCGTCTCCACACTGGCAGCAAACCAGCGCTGCGTTCTAGCCGGGCTCGTCCGTGCTACGACCCTCCCGAACGAAACCGTCCTCCACCACCTGACGGACGCAAACCTTGTCAGTCGGTGGGACGATGCGGCGGGCCGGAAGGTCGCCGCAAAGATCGCGGAGCTAGCCCGCGTCGGGAACGGCACCAAGAAAATCATCGACGCCATGGATTGGTCGAACGCCGTCGACGAGATCATCAGCGTCCGGGAAGCAGAATACGTGGTGCATGCCGTCATGAACGGAAGCCTCACGGCGGGCATCCCTTCCTCTCCCGAGGGGTTCAACAGCGAAAACGACTTTTTGGCCCCCTTCCGCAAATCTGCCCCGTGGGGTCGTCTGCTGTCGGTTCTGTTTGCCCACATGGCTCGCCTGCGATCGCTGCCGTCCATTGCCCTGGTTTGGAGGGTGTTTTGCCAAGAGCTCCGGAGGCGCTGGGACGAAAGAGAGTCTCTTCCGAACATGCAGTACGTAGCTGGGTTGGATCCCCATCCACTGGAACTCAAAAAACAGCGATGCTTCTCTACGATCGAGCCAAAGGCAGCGTTTTCTGCGTAYCTGAACTGCTCGGAACCCGACCCGGATGATTACCATTGCCTCATTGGGCAAAAGCTTCAAGTTTTTAACTTGGGAATCGAATGCATCGTGGCTGACGAACTCTTGGAAAACGAGGCCATGGAGCAATTCCTTGGAGCGGGGCAGTTGCCATCGAGTCTAAATGTAGATGCCGACACGGGCAGTCCTCCAAATCCCGAAGAGATCCAAAATCATTCGGCCGACTCGTCTTCCTGGAAGAGCACTCCCAAAAAAATGAMAGCCAACCCAACTGTTGGTGTCAAAAACAACACCTCTACCGAAAAGAATGATTACGGACCGCCCGCGATCGATCGTGACATGGATTTCTGGGTCATGGATGAGCCTACCAACTATCAGGTCCAGGACAGAAATTTACCCATGAATGCARCAGACGAGAGGGACTTTGACTACGTCGGTCCACCTTCCACCAGCCCCGGTGATCCGGATGCCGAYTCAGTCAAACACCCATACGAAGATGGCAAACAAAAAGAACCAAAGAAGAAAAGACTAATTCTGGAAGGCATTCCCATGCCTTGGCATTCRTCTTCTTCGAATGACGACGGAACATCATCGGAGGGATCGGCGAAGTCAATGGGAAGTACTGGGACCCTCAGTCAGATGTATTTTGATGCGGCCGAAGCCGGAAGCATATTTTCGGCAAAGCGTGGTTTCATCACSTTGGACACAGTTTTGGACATCAAAGACGCACAGCGGCGGCCAGGAGCACGGTGCCCTGTTGCAGCTTTGTGTATTCTTTCTACCGGAGACCAGCTCTATGCTCCGTATTTGCAAAGACCTCATCCGTTGACAGACGATGTTGCTCTTCAAAGGCGAATCATGCTTACAAAGTCAGACGAAGGCAGAGAAAAGAAGGGCGCTTTGAAAGGAAGACTAGACCTTGCTTATCGATTGCAAAAACCCAAGCTGATCAGTGATATGAATTCCTTTAAAGCAGCCAACCCCAAGTGCTCATTAGACGATTTTGCGAAGTGGTATGGAAATCCCGGAAGCCCCTTTGAAAATTACAACATCGAAGATCCAATCAGCGACGAAATATCTGTGCAAAGTGCCTTCCAAGAATCCGCAGCCAAAAAATTGGACAAGGCATCCGAGGCTATGCGGGTTTTGGTGGCGACTCGTGATTTTTGGAGCGAGTGCTGGGAGCAGTCGTCTCCCATCCCTGCCGCCGAACAACAACCTCTCTTCGACCACGTTAGTACCGTGGAAATGGTCATCGACTATCTTGAACAGCTCCATCCAGCGAATCTGATGAATCAAGTAATGGCAGTCAACCTTTCATCTGCTTATTTTGCTCTTGCCTCTTCTGCCAAAGCCACRATGAAAATTGGCATTGTTCAATTGTCGATGAAAATGCTTCGGCAAAAGACAGAGAAAGCTCTTAAACTCTTGTCCCATAACTCCCTTGGAAAGCTATCTCAGATTAGTGACAGTCGACGGAGCGGCACCGGAAGCACAGTTGGAACCACAAGCGGTGTGACTTCCTCACAATTTGCATCGGAACAGGCCATCTGCGCCTGCGAAGACGTTTGCAACGCCCTCAGCGTGACCGAGACCATGATGGCCCGGGCGACCTCCCTTCTTCATAAGTTTCCGGACCAGTATAAGCTCGTCTCTGATCTGCTACGCTTTGCTGACGGAAGCACCCTAGCCCTGACCGATCGTGGCGGGCGCTCCAATTTCTTGAAGCTGGTTTTCGATCAACAACAGAAAGAAAACAAGCTGCTGGATCCATCGAAGGACAAACTTCCAAACCCTATGCTTCGAGAATATGTCTTTCGGAACCTCGATGACGACAATCCTTGTCAACTAGCAGTCCGATTCGGTGACGAAATTACCAATCTTGATCGTGGGGAAAATGAAGGAGGCGTTCTTTTGGCACTRAATAAAAGTTATTACCACAAGAATAACGAGGATGGGAACTAAATAGGGAGCTGATGAGAAATAATTTTGTTCCGTAGTTTGCATTTAGTAGTATAAATGTTCCATTCAGAGTATTGAGTCTTCATGCGGTAATACATATTGCGTAGGTGAGGAACACAACAGCTGTAATAACCCCCTSGTTCGCCAGCAAGAAAGAATGCACCATATGACTGTTAGCGCTCAACTCTTGTCGATATCACTACCATTGTCTAATACTACAATTGTACCAGTAGTGCTACGCTCTAAGCTGCCTTTCACTTCCTGATACCATAGGCACCTGCGGCAGAGTTTTTTGCCCCATCGTCGC